GGCTCCATCTGTGTTAAAATGTATATTTTTTAAATTTACAAAACCCCACAGTATTTTTACAGTCTTTATTTTACAGTTAAAATAACTGTTTATCAAATAAAGTCTAATGGTACAACTAATCGGGGATCCCTTTAAAACTGTACAAAAAAAGATTCAAATTGTGCAAACAGAAAGTCAAATTGTGTGAAATCTGATTAAAATTAGACAAAACCAACACGCTGTGATAAAGGCGATTATACACTCACCCACCTGTCTTGGCGGCAGGTGATAAGAATTTGTTAAAAAGACTTTCACGCTGCCAAAGTTAAAAACATATTGCCTTCTAGCTTTAACGCCGCCTTTGTCCTGGTGTTGACATAATAACTCTATAACAGATGCATTTGTGTCGCTGTGTGAGTGAAAGATGGCAGGGACYGAGACGGAGGTGTAGTGCTATTAAAGGTTCAGCGGCCTGAGTGAGGCATTGTTTCCTGCGTTCTATCACAGCGCCAACTTTGTGCTGTCCCTGAACTAAGCTTGAGTTATGAGGCTGTCTGGCTGAGAGGAAAAAGCAAAGATGAGGTTCACTCGGGGCAGCCGGAGACAGCACTTTTTTTTTCTGCACGTACCCACTGTAAACAACAGATTATCTTGTTGGCTGGCACCTTCTGATAGTCTTACAAAGCCAGGACTGCAGTTTGTTTTTGTTAAAGGGCAAATAAACCTAAAGAAAATTGGTTTTGTTTCAGGTGGTTTACTTTGTTCCCTTTGATCTTTAAAGGAGAAAAAGAAATGTTGCAGCATGCTTTAAAACATTTTCAGACATCCCACCAATAAAACAAACCGATCATAAAAGTTTAATTATTGCTTYGTATGGGATACATCTTGTGCCAGCAAGAAATGAATTGGAATTGCTCAGATTGAATCTGAATGTGTATAATTTGAAATTGAATGCACTGGTTTGAAAATAAATTTCACTAAATTGAAACTGTATTTTGGTTTATTAAAAAAGTCAGTTTGACTACTTTAAGTTTCAGTTCTAAAATTCAAATTTTAATGTCACACTTCCTGGTCCTTGAGAAAGCCAGCCAGAGTACTGTATTTTTCGGACTATAAGCCGCACCCACCATTTAAAAAAATAATCTGCAAACATTAACATATAAGCCGCACCGGACTATAAGCCACACCCCCCAACATAAAAAAACAGTACATCCAAATTTGTCGTCAAAAAAAGTGAATTCAACATCAAAACATAAAAAGCAAACCTTTAGGAATTAAAGTTCGGAGGAATACGGTTCATTAACTGACCTTATTTTGGTAGTTTTCTTTAACAGTTTCTGCTCCAACAAAACGTCTCATTCATCGTCCTCCGGCTCACTGAAACCGTCGAAGTCCTCTTCAGTGTCAGAGTCAAACAACCTGAGAAAAGCTGCGTCACACAGCGGTATCTGTTCAGTGCTGCTTTGTGTCGCTGTCCTCCCAGGGTAATGCTGGCTCTGAAGCTGTGGTGGGATACCCCTCCCGCTCTGGCATACGTCACTGCATGGGATTCCTTCCCTGGGGAGTGCAATGAGGAAAAAAAGTCTGTGGCTCTTCACTCGACGTTTATCCACAAACTGGTCCTGGATTAAACTCCAAAGTTTTTATCAGTCATATTCCACCATGAAAAATGT